GTAGATCAAAGAACAAAATGACAAAGGCAGAAAAACCAATTGTCATCTACAAAATAAATTGCTCAGACTGTGAAAAACACTACATAGGACAAAGTTGATGGCCTCTCCAGCCTCTTCGTTTACGCAAACACCAATCAGCAACCAAACGCCACGACATTTATCCCCGTTATATCAATATACACGGTCATCTATGAACATACATTCGATTGGAACAATTTGAAAATACTGGATAGGCAGAGGACAAAGAACACTAGAGAATTTTTAGAATCTCGGCACTCAGGTCAATCAGCAATTAACAAACACATCTTCAGTGACCCCATTAATCAACCAATCAGAAATATCACAGGCATACATAGGATTAAGAAACAGATCAAAAGTAGGCGACAATCAAAACAAAGGTGTAAACACCGACAGGTTTAAGGTCCACATCAACCAATCGAAACCTAGGTTGACAGAACAAGCTACAGGTCGAATGTGGAGAAACTGGAATACTTCACTTCTTCTATCTGACGTTTGTGTTGATGATATTGTTCACAAAGAAGAACAATGAAAGCTTCACAACCGAAACTTCCAGCTCAGAAAACGAAACAAAAATACAGTATACAGACGAGCTTAACACATCTCATCCTTAATCAATTAGAAAACAGCCTTCAATAAACGAGTAGATTCTCGAAAACAAATGTAAACCGATTTCTACACAACTATTGGATCTGACAAGATTAAACTGGATACATTTCGTAGCGCAAACACACATCACATTTCACTGATCAACTATGTCTTCACATTGTCCTATTAAAAATTTATAATAGGGATGTGAATTGTTTTGAAATTAATGAAGGCGGACTACTTTCTACAAATTATGCTGTTTGTGCAAAACCCAATCGGAAAATACTTTCGAACTTCTTACCTTTTCTATACGATAAACTAATTCACTTGTTGACAATTCAATCATTGGTTTAATAAAATCAATTGAGACATCAATTGTTTTAATGAGATATTTGGCACTTCGTCCAATTATTGAATGACATAAAATTTTCTCTTGAACTGTTTTAGCACTAAAATACGATTAAAAAAAAATTGTAACTGGTAATCAATACATGAAAATTATAAGTAACATTCAGTCTTGTTTAAACTGTGTTTTTTTTTATAAATGGAGAGGGATTCATGGAGATGATGTTGTTTTCATAGTTGAAATGACGAACTGATCTTGGTTAGATCATTCTTAGAAAGCAATGAGCAATGAACGATCCTCTCGTTCAAGTATGAGACTCCTAAGCTCTGTGTATACATTATGGGTTGATTGAAGTTAGATATAAACATCGTTGGATTTCGGCACGGTGATATACAGGTTAAGCGTTCGAGTGATACGAAGGTGCTGGGTTCGGTTCCCGTGTGCGTGTTTCATGGGTGTGCACTTCCGAGAATTCCCATACTAGGACAAGATGGTCGTCCAATGCTTTCAGGTTTCTAATGATGATCTATCTAGGTTAGATCGTTTCGTGAATTCGACTGTGGAAATAAATTGCCATTCCTTAATAATTTTAACGTTTTGAGCTTTGTAAGATATTGTAGGGTTCGTCACTAAGTACGCTTGAAGCTATTACGAGTTCACCTTAGTCGATGAACGCAAACGAGACAATGAATCAGCGTCCAGATAGGCTACTTTGAATCCCAAGCTGAAGACAGAAGGCTTTGTAAGCGTAGAAAGTATATTCTACAAACACCCAGCAATCACAGAACAATCGTGCATACAACTCTCGTTTATTTATACATCATAGAAACGTCCTTGGGACAGTTACGAAAATCGCACACTAAAATACACAGCAGCCAATCACAGCCATGGTGTGAAGTGAAATCTCAAGGTCAGCTGACTAGCCCATGCCGGCAAACGTGAAATCCAAAATAAGGCATTTATCAAGCGATTTTTGGGGATCTAACATCCCCAACAGATATAAGTTATTTATTTTTGGACTTCGTACCTCCTTTTACAAATTTTTACTGTATTTGAAATGTGACTACCAAGGAAATCCAAGAAATGTCTTTTTTTGCATGGCCAGAATTCATCAGTTGGATGTAAATGAACACCAGTAATGAGATTCCCATTGAAACTTTCGAACTTAGCACTTATCATATCAAATAACAGAACATTTTTTATTAAAGTGTTGACAAGTTAGCCAAATATTAAACCTAACAATCAAGTACCAATTGACGGCATCTAAAAATTGCTTCCCTTCAATTGACTATGACATGACATCGCGTTTATTTGATGTTGATATTGTCATGGTGTTTTGTTCTCCGAGATGAATGTTTTGGTTGTTAGGATTTCATTGTTCTTCCTTGTGAACAACATCATCAGCACAAACTTCTTCAGACAGAAGTGAAGTATTCGAATTTCTTCATATATGAGTTGTAGCTTCTACTGTTGACCTTGATCTTGATTGGTTGTTATTGACCTTAAACCTGTCGTTGCCTGATTGTACCTCTCCACTTCGATCTGTCCTTGATCCTGAGTTTGCTTATGATTGTTTCGATTGGTTGATAAATTAAGTCAATGTCGATGTGTTAGTTGATTGCTGATCGATCTGTGTGGCAAATGTTGATTCTTTTAATAAAAGCTTAGTGTACAAGCTTATCATATACAAATTCTGGTTAGATGCTTTCGAATAGTTCGTGCGATTAAGAATAAACTTCATATCAGTTGAATAAGTTGGAAGTAGGATTCAATCTCAAACAATTTTCACTACTGCATAAATGATTATTACTGAGTGCAACAAGAGTTTATAGAATTTTAACATAGCTATGATCTTACAGTGGCATTTCTCAGTCTTTGGTGCTATCTGTTTTTCGCTAGTTCCTGAGATAAAGAAGTAAGTATACTCTGTAGCAGTTCTTTCTGTTCTTCCCTGTGAGGTGGTATTTGAAAGAAAGAGAGAATATTCGAAGATAAGTAGTGGAGGACGTTAACACCTTCACATATCTCGGCAGCATCATCGACAAGCAAGGTGGATCTAATGCGGATGTGAGGGCGCGGATCGGCAAATCAAGGGCTGCATTTCTACAGTGGAAAATCACCTGCAACTCAAAACAAATATTAACCAAAACCAAAATCAGGATTTTCAATACAAATGTCAAGACAGTTCTACTGTGTGGAGCGGAAACCTGGAGAACTACAAAAGCCATCATCCACAAGATACAAGTGTTTATTAACAGCTGTCTACGCAAAATACTTCGGATTTGTTGGCCAGACACCATCAGCAACAACGTACTGTGGGAGAGAACAAACTAGAATTTAGTGGAGAAGGAAATGAGGAAGAAGCGGTTGAAGTGGATAGGACACACACTACGAAAAGCATCTAACTGCGTCACAAGACAAGCCCTCACATGGAACCCTCAAGGCAAAAGGAAAAGAAGAAGGCCAAGGAACACGTAACGCCGAGAAACAGAGAAAGATATGAGAGGAATGAACAAAAATCGGACAGAACTGGATAGGGGGGCCCAGGACAGTTGTTTGGAGAATGGTGGTCGGCCTATGCTCCATTGGGGGGGGGGTAACAGGCGTAAGTAAGTAAGTAAGTTTATCATAGAAGTATTCAAATCGTTGTATGCATTATGTCCGGATCATTGTGTGACTAACGATGAGGTCAGATACAGAGTGATAAGTAAAGGTGGCAAATCAGTTCACAAAATAGCAAATCTTTATCGACAGAGGTGAATGGAATGTGACTTATCCTCAATTTGTACAACCGCTGCCTACTTGACATACGATGTTTCCTGGTGTACGAATATGTTGGATGAACGGTGGGGGGGTGGCAAACCGAACCTTCTCATCACTCCACAAATCAATGCTTTGTTGAACTAAGCTGTGTTTGCTGCGGACAACCTGGTTAGGGTACATATAGTTATCAGAACCATTGCTTAGAGGAGTTGGGTACAGTCTCAGAATCAGCCTTAATAGAGTTGCCCTTTATCTTTCCTTTTAAGTTAACTTTTGTTTTGTATTTCACAAGTTTATGACTCATATTTCCCAATTATCATTGATAATGTTACGATTTCTAGTACTTTAGGATTTGTCTTGAAAATTTTACCATGCTATGCTATGAATCGTCGCATTAACGATTCAGATACTTCATTGCTTAAATATGACTCAAAATTAAATTATGAATAACATTTAAACCTCAAATATCAAAAATAAAGTTGATTAATAATAATAATAATAATTAAAATCATGAACCAATCAATTTTAAACCACCATTAGGAGCCTGGAAGCGCTAGACAGCCGTTTCGCCCTAGTATGAGACTCATCAACAATGCACATCCACTAAATTTCGACGCAGGTATTGGACCGATGACCTTCGATCTCTCACGCAACGGTGTCATGCAGTAATGAGGATTGATCTAAGTTAGACATTGTCACCACTAAATGACGGCTCAATGGTCGCTCATGAAAGTGAAATTCCTAGGTTCGATTACTGCTCGTGTGGGGCTTGGATTGACAATGCAGATGAATCCCATACTAGGACGAAACAGACATCCAGTGCTTCCAGGTTTCTAATGGTGGTCTAACATTGACTGATTCATGATTTACACGAAATCTAACAATCTCCATAACCGTATAATTACCAGTAATAATAGCAATAATGCCTGCTTTATATTTTATTGATTATCAGTAATTTTATTTCACCACTATAAAAATCTCTACTTAAAACTCACCTATCACATTGCACTTCTAAACAAATTTCTGTAGATGCTCCTGGATTAAGATCAAATCGATGTGGTGTAATTGACCATTTCGATTCGGGTTTATTTGATAACTAGAATGAAATTTTCATATTACAGAATAAGTGATTATGATAACGATGCTGAACGGATTGTTCAAATTTACGTAGAAATTTGTTTACTACTCGTAAGTAGTAGAAGTTGATTTCTTTAAAAAAAAAACATTTTTACAGTTGCATGCAACCTGTATTTTAACAATCAAAACTATTCCATTTAGTGGATCTTTAGGATCAGATTACTGTATGATAAATTACAAGTCCTCATGTGAATCCCAGTGATTACAGTTTGCTTTTCAGGATTGAGAAACAGCCAAAATATCAAAATTGTAGTGGTAGACGTTGGAGAGTTTAGCAAAAAAGCTACCATTAAACATTAGTTTTCAATGGTGCAAGCCGATAAAAGAGTAATCTAGAGACTTTAATCAAACAGTTTTCAAAACGTTAACGTACGTATTTAGGAAGAAAGGAACCGACTAAGAAATTTATACAGGATTAATGAGTTCGTTGAGACATGTTTGTGATTAATTAAAGTTAGTTTTCTTCAAGAAAGGATAACAAATGAGGAATTTTTTAAGACTGTGGATTATTGTACAACTGTGATAGACTTAACAAAAGCAATTCATCCTAAGACCTCACTAAGATTTAAGTGATTCATCTTAAAATCAGTCACCATTAATTAAGTACGTGGTTAACATCTGGTAGTGGGGTTTTCGAAAATTAACGTAAAAAGAAGTCGCTTTTCATCAAGAGTATAAGATAACTGATTGATTTTGTTTACATAAATATTCGCTTTATATCTGAATGAATATTTTCAGAGGAATCGGTCCCGGAGTGTAAAAAAATGACAATAAATTCAAGATTTATCAATCCGAACATTAGTGCGCCAAGTACCGCATCCTCTTCACACTGCTTGACATCTGCCATCAATAATTCCTAGTGTTGATGAGCGCGTTTCAATAAGGATTAGTTTAATTCATTGAGTCTTGGATATTTCTTATACATTTCCCGACCGTAGCTGCTACCTTGACTGAATGGTCAGCCTTGCCTATGGTGAAGACCCAACCGAACAATACTTGCTGGAACATATGTTACTGTAGGTTATACCATACCAGTATGGTCGACTGAAAAACGGTAACACCAAAAGCAGCAACTGGAGGTCTGAGGGCGAAGTCGTACTCTAATGAATGAGAACACAGGTGGAGCAACCGGATTGCATTCAACGGAAATTACAGAGTTACTCAGTAAAATTGGAAAACCATATCGTAAATCGTTCATTTGCAAAATATCAGTTCATCATATCGAACTGGACTGTTCCTGTTGCAAAACATCAATCCATTGTCACTATTCATGCGTTTCATACAAATTTCATTGTGTTCTAACTCTTCCTTTCTTGATCTTCCTCCATCTTCTGTTGCCAGACATTACGTTGACACTCACGTCATATACTACTTACAAGTAGCTCACACCACAGTACTACCGACTGCAGAGAGGCATGACAGCAGTAAGGTGTTTCCTTCGGACAACCAACATCTGCAATGATGATGCCTTCTCGAAACAAAAAGGAGGAATTAAAAAAGGTCGACCCTAAAAATTTCACACCTCACCTTACGTTACGGCTTTCCGTCTCCGGTGGTAAAGCCTTTTAAACAAGAGTGGAGCTAACACTTTAAAGACCGCTCATAAAAAGACTGTGAGTGACCGACCCGAAGTAGTTATCGTCTTGGCTCTACGGTCACGCTAACAGGTTTCCGAGACCAACACTAATCAAACTTCTCATCCAGATTCCTCAAGAAACACCCTTCTACAGTGTGGGCAGCCGGGAAGTGACATCCGCCCTCATACCCGTAACAGCACTAACAGACTGATGTAGCTAGCATACATATGATCAATCTCACCTAAAACTACCCAAACTGTTTATCACTATCAATCTGTAATTTACAATAAAATATATGTCATTAAAAATGGACCAACTTAAAAGAAACTAACTTGACCATCCGTTTGAATTGATTTCCTTGGTGATTGTCCATCTATTGACCAAATGATTTGTTGTGATCTCCTCCCTTTATTAATAACTTTAAATTGTTTCCGCATTGGATTCACACTAAATTGACTGCCTAAATTCAATATGGAACCCATTGATGGTTGTGTTACTATTGTGCCACCTTGACCAGTTGCATTTAATTCAATTTTCAATGGTTGTAAAGTATTTTCCACATGTATGATTAATTGATCTTTGAATAATAGAATGTCATTTAAATTTGCAGCTATATTCAAATCTACATAACTATAACCAGTGATACATCCTGTGCATGGTTCAACTTTATAAACAGTATCATTTCGTAACTAATAAAATGAGTAATGAATATGGAAATCGTTAGTTCAATACAAAATGAAATATATTGAACATACTGAAACATTGAACAACACTAAGGTACTAAAAGCGGTCGCTGAAAAATAGTTCAGTTTAATCCTACAGATAAAGTGGTACTTAGACTGGGACATGCTTTACGTATGTTTAACCATCGACTGCCTCGACAAGCCATGTTTTGTGGTGTAGGGATGCAAAAGGCGTCCATCGCAAAACATGGAAAAAATCCATGAAGTTACTAACAAGTGACCTGAGCCCTGTGGGTACGTGTAGACTACCTAGTTGGTGTCCGCGAGATGACTGTAAAAAATCGTTAGAGTTCTTGAATGACATGGCTCAAAATGGTTTGCGATGGCGCAGGTGCAACCATTCTTTGTGTTCTCTCAAATTCTAATCTGAATTCCTCATCAACTTCATCTTTCTATTCTCAAACTTATTTTACTAGATCAGACTCCGTGAATAACATCTATAAACCCTAATCTTTCTGACTGCTGCAAATACTGCTACTACCTCTACCCCTACGAGATTTAAATTGACTAATCCCTCTCTATGTGCTAATGTGGTATGTCAACTTGAACTGATGCATGCACATACGAAGTTCTAAGTCGAAGCTGACGGACTTACTGCAAACAACAAATTACTCTATATGCTGAAGACTTTGTCTACAGTTTGACTGTACTTGGTTAAATGTGAAATTCCAATATCTAACGAGTAAAAAGCCCTTTTAACTAGAGACATCTCATTGGCAAACATATTTATTAAATGCATGAATAAACTGACGGACAAACAACTGATTTCCAAGAGATCAATTGCCAAATTCATATTACTTAACTACTGAAGTTACACATCTTAGCCACATGAACAATTTCAGCCGATTAGTCAGTTAGTTAGACAAAAGCAATATAGAAACGGACACATGTATACCTTGGTTAAAGTTGTCACATTTAACACATAGGCGAAAAAATCCAAGAATAGTAGAAGTAACAAAAGTATTAGTGGTAGTAAAAAGGATTACGCATAGATGATTCCATCCAAGAGAATTCAGATTACTGGAATAATAAAAATTGTATCAAGAACCCAGAAGCAACAGGAAGGCGATTAGTGAATGTACCTATTCCATTCCAAACGATTATAAGCCATGTAAACCAAAGTCTTCAACCTCTGGTTACGATTATTACGTGGATCACGTAGCTTTCAATTACCTTCATGATTCAGCCCAATTGCCAATGACTTTACTTACATACTAGTGCCATATTTTGGTTTGACCACTCCTAGCTCTCGTTCATTCTATCCCTACACCAGGCATAATCGTACTTTGAGGATGTAAGTGGATAGACATACATAATACTGTTTCAGTTGGTAAAGATTCATTATCTCGTCAATTGACCTACCATGCTTACCTAGTATTCTGCATCTAACTTCAGGACTACTCCCTCCACAGTCCCAAAATGTATTAGCAATCATCTGGAAGGCTTGTCTTTTGACGTAGTTGGATGCTTTCGTCAATATGTGTCCTATCCACATTCAGCAGTTTTTCCTGAATTTCTTCTCAGATGAAATCGCGTTTGTTCTTCCGACAGTAAGTTGCTGCTGATGGTGTCTGACCAACGAATCCCAAGTATTTCACGTAGACAACTGTTGATATACAATTGCATCTTCTGGATGATGACTTTCATGGTTCTCAAGTTTCGGCTCCATACAGTGGAATCGTGTTAACATTTGTATCGAAAATTGTGATTTCATTGTTGGTTAATAGTTACTTTGAGTTAGAGATATTCACATGAGCATTAGATCCACCTTGATTTTCAGTGATGCTGCATTTATATTGTAAAGGTTTTTACATCCTCCAAGGTATCTCCATCAAGTGTGATTTGGTTGGTTCATTTTGTGCTGTATCACAGAATCCTGCCTTTCGCCCTGTGTATGTTGAGACCTAATGCTGTTGAGGCTGCTGCTACACTGGTCGTCTTCTCTTGCATTTGTTGTTGCGTGTGCAATAGAAAATCCAGATGATCTAGGTTGTATTTTTTCATATCTACAGCAATTTCGAACACTCTCCCTGTATCCCATATTGTACGGACATTCCATGTACGTAAATTAATGGTTGCTCTGGTTGTCAGAAGTAGGCATCAGCCTCGTGAATTCCGAAGGAACTCATCTTTCGTCTTGAGACGTCATAACTCTTCTAAATGAAGGTATTATAACTTCCACGGCCGAATTGAAATGGTTTGAATTATTTGTTTTGATTAGCGCCTTTTTAGCAAGTTCGTTTTCTTCAGGATATGGTCGCTAACCCCATGCCAAACCCTCCTTCTTCTTCCAGGCTCGGGACCCGCAGTAACCTCAGTGAGGCTCCAGGCAACAAAATAAATATGCGGCCTGTTGACCAACTATCAATAATTCTTCTCCAATCAACTTCTTTACTCACATATGAAGTGAATACATCACTACTCATAGAAGTGGTCAATAAATAACATTTTATTTGACAATTTCACTTCACTGACCAATGATCAGTGAACAAACGTTAAACATGATATAAAACGGAAAATTATTGAATATCATTCATGAAATTTTAAAATAAAAAAAACAGTAGAAATGTACTCACCATCTTAGCAGTATAATTGGCATCAATGCATGATTCATTGGAAATTCTTAATGTTTTATTGATCGGTTGTAGGACAGGTATTAGGCCCCATTCTAATTTCGTTTGATCAACATGTAACACTGGACCTTCACCCATACATTTGATGGGTATTTTCTGTGTGTGTGTGTGTGTTTAATTGAAGAAAATAGAAACTAGTGAAATATATTGGAAAATATTATTTAGTTAGCTAATCTGTAAAAGTAAGTAAGTCAGTCAGTCAGTCAGATGCAACGTAGAACTTCGTACGTAAGTATATCAGTTCATGTTGCCATAATACCACATTAGCACAGACAGATGTAACTGTCAATTCAAATTACAATAGTAGTAGAGGTAGTAAAGGTATTAGAAGTAATCGGAGAGGTTAGTAAGAGTAAGTTAAACTAGGGAATAGTTTTTTACACAAACAGATTAGTGGAGTTAGGCCATTTCGTCAGGAAAGTGATTGTTACCAAAAGTACTAGATATTCCTAGAATTGTGCCTTAAGTTAATATTGGGTACTAATTAGGTGGTTTAAAATTACTTTACCCCAAAATAACTTCTTATGTCCAAGGTTCGAGCTCAGGCTGGATCATGAGTATACCATGGTTGAGTTGCGAATCAATATGAAACAGCTGCTCACAATTGTTGGTTTACTGTTTATGAATTTGAGTTAAATCAAATTAGCAATTAAGATAGAGTGATATGAATTCATGAACTCCGTCTGCAGCTCTTCTGGGGTTACTATCCGTCCCCAGTACGGGCAAAGAAGAAGAGTTAGGCATGAGGTTTACGGTCCCATCGCGTAGAAATACAACTCGCTAAAAAAGCACTAGGGAGAAAAAATAATCCGCTGGTCAGCCAGCGGCTTACGCTCCATCAGGGGTAATAGGCGTAATTCAGTAAATAAGTAAGTAGTCCCTAACTTCGATCGTGTTGATGCCTGTACTATATAGCTCGTGAACGCCTAACCTCTGAACCACTAAGCCGGCATTCAACGATGTTAATGTCTAACTTCAGTCAATCTAAGGATTCCCGGGCAATTTTATCCATTATCTTCGGTATTTACTGCCTACATCCCACTGAGTTGACCTCCACTGGTCACGTCTTCTCGAGAAGCTAGTCATTAGTGAACATGATATATGATTTTTCGTTGTTATCTTTGTTAATATGCAAAACAGTTGAAATCAATGCTTAATGTGACGTGTTTCAAGTCATTTTTTAATGCTGACGGAGTTGTATCGTTCAGTTTGTAACATGGTCACTAATGTAGGTGACTTTACATCACATGCACTGTACTAAGATGTAAACTGGTGGTTGGAGCAGTCAGCAGGAAATTCTGCCAGACGTAGAATTTGTATTAGGAGGACTGATACTATCCGTGGCAGATTCGATCCGTTGTCACCCAGATTCACAGTCAGAGAAGTTACCATTGAGCAAATGGAGCCGTGACTGACCTCTTGTACGACTGAGATTTACTGAAAATCGGTCGATCACCGATGTAGTGGCTATGATCACGAATATCAAGTAATTCTCATAATAACAATCGTAAATTGAATAATTTTGCAAATACTTACCAATGGATTCTCATTGATACCACAAATTTTGAAGCATAATTCACTTGTAATCGGTCCTAGTGCTTTTGCTTTAAATGTCACAGGAATTTTGACAGAACTTGAACCGTTAATAAATCCCTGTAATAAGAAGTTAAAAGCGAAGTTTTTTATGTACAACTTATATGTAATTCGAGTGTCATTTAAAATCTTAATGCATATTCTATCTATCTACAAAAGGTTCCCAGTGATAATTGATATCTTATCACATCAATAAGTTGAATCGATAGCTTTGTGGTGAAAAGCATTCAATTGAAAACATAGTCTCATTAAATACATGAATCGATCAGTGTTCGACTACTATTAGAGACCTGAGAGCACCGGACGGCTGTTTCGTCCTAGTAGGGGATCCGTCAACAATGCATATCCGCCTTCACTCGCAGGAATCGAACCCAGGAACTTCAGCCTTGTGCCGGCGAACGCTTAACCTCTAGACCACTGAGGCAGCATCTAACGGTTTTAATATCTAACTTTGATCAATCCACTGTACTGCCCAACCTAATCCACTGTTTTCGGTTGGTTAGTGTTGAATTCAACTGGTTACAAATTTTCATTATAACTACTCGGTGAAACTATAGTGAAGGAGAACACAGGTGGGGCAACCGAAATGTATTTAACGAAAATTACAGAGTTACTCAGTAAAATCGGAACACCATATCGTAAATCGTTAATTTGCAAAATATCGATCCATCATATCGAACTGGACTGTTCCTGTTGCAAAATATCAATCCATCGTCACTATTCATGCGTTTCATACAAATTCCATTGTTTTCTAACTCTTCTTTTCTTGATCTTCCCCCATCTTCTGCTGCCAGACATTACGTTGACACTCACGTCATATACTACTTATAAGTAGCTCGCACCACAAAACTTCCTTACGGAGCCAGTCACTCTGGTGAGCATATGATAATTTTAATCAAAGAGTTGTGGTAATTGTTGAGCTTCATGGAAATCATGAATCGATCAATATTCGACCACCAGGATGAAAGGGCGGCCCAGTACTTTCAGGTTTCTAATGGTGATCTAACAATGACCAATTTATGATTTTGTTAGGATATTCATCCAATATCCTAAGAGAATTATTGGTCAGTTCCTATTGGTTAATTCCTACTGGTCAATTTTATGGTCGTCCTATATATCAATGTCACGTGCTCCAATGGCGTTTCTTATTGGTTGTCCTGACTATTAATGTGACTTCAAATGTTACTTCCTATTGGTCGTCTTAACTGTCAATGTCACACACACTTCGATGCTGTTTCCTATTTGACCAAAATGTATAAATACGCATTATCTGAAACGTTTTATGACCGCGACCAGGATCAAGACCCGGTCCCGGATCCCTAGTCCGGGATCCTGATTCTCTTCTAGATTCGGACCTCGTACTTTCTGGATGCTTGTAGAATACAGGTTCTACTTCATATCACGTCTTCTTATTTTTACTAAATATGGGGTTTGGGATAATCGGATTTGAGTAGCATGTCGTGTCGCGGGCCGGATCCTCGATCCTCGCTCTCGTTTTCCAACTAGGCAGTAAACTCGTAATAGTTCAAGTATATCAAGTTGACGTGTTTACGTGCAGGCCGAACAGATTTCAATAAATTCACTTTACCCAATTCAATATTTATAATCGATCATAGTTTTTCTTAAAACTAGACAAGTATAAATTTTTAGAAAAACAAACCATAAACTTGTAAATCTAAACAATGAACAGCGAAAAGTAGTTTTGTGCAAAATCGTATTAAAATTCATTAAAGTACACAAATGACAGATAGATAGTTAGTTGAAGTACTACTTCCAGTATTGAAAAAAAGCTGTTACAAATAACTGGATAAAAACTAATAAGGTTTCTACTGTTAACCAGTAGATCCGACTAACCTAAGCAACAGTACAAGCACGTTCGGGATGCGTTTCTCACCCTCCAAATGCAAAATGTTGCCTCAAGACTGGGTTGCATCGTCACCTGAAATAATTACAGGGAGTGAAGTAGTCGAACGTGTAGGCCGCTTCACTTATCTGGGGAGTCTCATCAGTGCCGATGGCCTGGTGACTGACGAAATCTCAGCTCGGATACAGAAGGCTCGATTGGCTTTTGCCAACCTGCGTCACTTATGGCGTGGACGAGATATCCGTTTGCTGACTAAAGGACGAGTGTACTGTGCAGTGGTTCGCTCCGTCTTACTTTATTGCTGTGAAACATGGTCAGTGAGAGTATAAGATATTCGTAGGTTACTGATTTTTCGATCATAGGTATCTTCGAAGCATTGCTCGTATATCGTGGGACACCCGAGTGAGCAATGCTGTTATTAGGAAACGGATCCTAAGTAAGAATGACAGATCAATAGATGAAGTGGTGAAACTTCATCAGTTGAGGTGGTTGGGACATGTGTTGCGTATGCCTAACCACTGGCTGCCTCGACGAGCTTTATTTTGTAGTGTAGGAATAGGTTGAAAGAAAGCTAGGGGCGGCCAAACGGAAACATGGCAGAAATCCATGAAGTCATTGACGAGTGAACTTAGCCATGTCGGTCATTGTCGACTACCTGGTTGGGTTCAGCGAGATGATAATAATCGATGGTTAGAGACCTTGAATGACATGGCTCAAAATCGTTCGCAATGGCGCCGGTGCATTTATTCTATGTTCTCTCTTAAATTCTAATCTTCTGGATTGTTCAACCCCTCTAGTTTTTACTTTCTAAACTGTTTTCACTGAATCATACTTCCTGAATAATATCTTCTAATCCTAAGCTCTCCGATTGTTCCTAATACCTTTACTACCTCTTCTTCTATTGGATTTGAATTGACAATTACATCTGTGTGCTGAAATGGTATGGCGACGTGAACTGATGTACTTGTGTACGAAGTTCTACGTTGCATCTGACTGACTAACCAGTGGATGAATTGTTAAACGTTTATATTTATAACTAAAGTTCTGATTGCAATTAAGAACTGTTGACCAGTCTCAATTCTCGTATGAGTTTACTATCTTAATGAATCTATCAGTTATCAGTTACTTACTTAAATTATTTACGCGAGTTACCCACAATATAGCATAGCCCATCGACCAGTATTCTCCAAACCTACTCTGTTCTAGGCCTACCTTTCCAGTTCTGTCCAATTTTCGTTCATTCATCTCATATCTTTCTCTATTTCTCGGAGTAATGTGTTCCTCGGTGCTCCTCTTTTTCTTTGACCTTGAGGGTTCCATGTGAGGGCTTGTCATGTAAAGCAATTGGGTGCTTTCCTCATTGTGTGTTCTATCCACTTCCAGAGCTTCTTTCTGATTTCTTCTTCCACTGGGTTCTGGTTTGTTCTCTCTCACAGTAGGTTGTTGCTGATAGTGTCTGGCCAACGAATCCGGAGTATCTTGAGTAGACAGCTGTTAATAAATATTTGTATCTTCTGGATGATGCCTTTGGTAGTTCTCCCAGTTTCCACCTCATACTGAAGAATTGTCTTGTTATTTGTATTGAAAATTGTGACTTTGTTGTTGTTTGACAGTTGTTTTGAGTTGCAGATGTTCTTCAATAGTAGCAACACCGTCCTTGCTATACCAAACCGCGCCTTCATATCTGCATCAGATCCATCTTGCTCATCAACGATGCTACTACCTAGATATGCAAAGGTTTTTACATTTTTCAAAGCCTTACCGTCACATGTGATTTGGTTGGAGCTTATTGTGTTGTATCGAAGAATCTTGATTTTCCCTTTGTGAATGTTAAGACCGACTGCTGCTGAGGTTACTGCTATCTGTATAAGTTAGTTCAACGTTACTTAACAACATAAACAGTTTACTGTTATTTCCTCTTAAAATATTTATAAATACGTCAGTACTTTGACAAAAAGGTTTTCGAAAATTAAATACTATAGAATATGAATTATTGATATTTTCTGTAAAACTACTAGTCATTGCCAAATATATATATATATATATATATATATATATGGGATGAAAATATCAGGCTACTTATTTACTGATACCATGATTGTACTCTTTACAGACCATTTAGAAATTGAACTGATTCACATGTGTTAGGAATCATAAGGTTGTATATGGACTGATCAGTTGTATGACATTGGTTTTGATTGCTTGAATTTTAAAAGCTATCCTCTATTAATAATTCAAGGACACTTTATCATGGAGGCTTTAGCAATCAACAAACACATAGAAATTGAGCCAATCTATCAACCAATCAGAAAAATCATAGGTGACATAGGATTAAGAAACAGATCAAACTGAAGATACAATCAAAATGAAGGTGCAAACAACGACAGGTGTAAGGTCCACATCAACCAATCAGGACTGAGGTTAACAGAACAAGCTCTGCAGGTCAAATGTGGAGAAATTCGAATACTTCACTACTTCTATCTGAAGAAGTTTGTGCTGAGGATGTTGTTCAGAAAGAAGAACAATGAAAGCTTCACAACCAAAACATTCAGCTCAGAGAACGAAACACCAACACAGGCTTTATGTGAAGTCAGTTACAGTGATTCAGTGAAGGTAGTCCATGAATACTTTCAAATTTTAAACACTACATTATTTTTTACGCATTTTGCTCTGGTGACTGACGAAATCTCAGTTCGGATACAGAAGGCTCGATTGGCTTTTGCCAACCCGCGTCACTTATGGCGTAGGCGAGATATCCGTTTGCTGACTAAAGGACGAGTGTACTGTGCAGTAGTTCATTCCGTCTTACTTTATGGCTGTGAAACATGGCCAGTGAGAGTAGAAGATATTCGTAGGTTACTGGTTTTCGATCATAGGTGTCTTCGAAGCATTGCTCGTATATCGTGGGACAACCGAGTGAGCAACGCTGTTATTAGGAATCGGGTACTAAGTAAGAATGACAGATCAATAGATGAAGTGGTGAAACTTCATCAGTTGAGGTGGTTGGGACATGTGTTGCGTATGCCTAACCACCGACTGCCTCATTGAGCTTTGTTTTGTGATGTAGGAATAGGTTGGAAGAAAGTTAGGGGTGGCCAAATCAAAATATCGCAGAAATCCATGAAGTCATTGACGAGTGGACTTAGCCATGTAGGTAATTATCAACTACCTGGTTGGGGTCCACGAGATGATAATAATCGATGGTTAGAGACCTTGAATGACATGGCTCAAAATCGTTCGCAATGGCGCCGGTGCATTTATTCTATGTTCTCTCTTAAATTCTAATCTTCTGGATTGTTCAACCCCTCTAGTTTTTACTTTCTAAACTTTTCTCATTAAATCATACTTCTTGAATAATATCTTCTAATCCTAAGCTCTCCGATTGTTCCTAATACCTTTACTACCTCTTCTTCTATTGGATTTGAATTGGCAATTACATCCGTGTGCTGAAATGGTATGGCGACGTGAACTGATGTACTTGTGTACGAAGTTCTACGTTGCATCTGACTGACTGACTGATTTTCCTCTGCTTTCACCAGTTTCCTGATCGAAATTTTCGTCTTTATTGTTAATTTTGAAGACTTGAACTGATATGACACAGTTTAATATTTTATTTCATTGTATTACTATTACGATACAATTATTGTTTTGAAAGATTTACAAGGTGAACATTTGTTTCTTTTTCAGAAAGACACGACGAATAGAAAAGATAAACTTTGAATCTACAATCGACAATACATTCTATACCGTTTTTCTCTTTCTCGTCAAGATGAAATGGAGAAAATATTCTTGTGTTGATTTCCTAACGTTTAGTAATATTTTAACTTGTGATTATTAGTGTAATCCACACATCATCCGACTACACCAGGAGGCAAGCCTTCACTTGGAACCCTCAGAGCCAAAGGAAAAGAAGAAGACCTCAAAACACATTACGCTGAGAAATGGAGACAGACATGAAAGGGATGAACAGCAACTGGATAGAAATGGAAAGGAAGGTCCAGGGTAAACGTGATTGGAGAATACTGGTCAGCGGCCGATGCTCCATTGTGGGTAACAGGCGTAAGTAAATAAGATAGTAAGTAAGTAAGTAAGTGAATGAGTGAGTGAGTGAGTGAATGAGTAAGTAAGTAATTAAGTGAGTAAGCAAGTACGTAATAGAATTCAAAACTCACAATACATCTTAAATCAAACTGTTCAATTAAATTTTTGACAAAACTTTAAAGTCAAACTAAACACTTGAAAAAGGCAACGATAATGGATAATAGAAATTCTAACTGTCTTATATTCACCACGAAGTAATAGAACAAAACTCCGTGACTTGTTAGATCACGTTTCATAAATGATGCGATAAACCTTTAAAATTTCGCCTAAAAAAAATTATAGCACACGGCGATGGGTTCGAGTCTGTAGGGTTCGTCACTAGATTCGCTTGAAGCTATTTCGAGTTCATCTTAGTCGATAAACGAGAACGAGACAATTACCAGAGTCCAAATATGCCACCTTGAATCCCAAGCTGAAGATTAAAGGCTTTGTAAGCGTAGACAGTATATTCTACAAACACCCAGCAATCACAATACAATCAAGCACACAAATCTCGTTTATTTATACATCATAGAAACGTCCTTGGGACAGTTACGAAAATAGCACACTAAAATACACAGCAGCCAATCACAACCATGAATTTCCCTGGTGGGAAATGAAATCTCAAGGTCAACTGATCAGCCCATGCTGGCAAACTTGAAATCCAAATTAGGTCATATATCAAGCGAGTTCTGGGGATCTAGCTTCCCCAACAGAGTCCAAGGGTGGATATTAACTCTGAGATGTAAGTATATCCAGCTGAATAGTCCAAAATAAGGCAAAACGTGAGTCCTAGACTCCACTGTTAGCCACTATTCATCACTACTTATGACCTGATGTCTGTATCGAGGTAATCCGCATAGGCTGCCCATATGCTAACCAAGACCTATCGAAATCGCTTAAAGCACGTTAAATAATTTATTTAGTGGATACATTTTAATAACCAAATCAACAGACAGCTGTAAAAAAAACACATGATTTATAATAGTCTTATACATAAATACATACCTCAGGATTATTTGTCCAATATTGTAACTTGGACTCGTCATTGGCGCTTCCTTCTTGATTACTTGTAGATTGAATTGTCACAGATTTTGTTTCATTTTGTTTTGTTGATAACAGTTGTTCAATAAATTGATAACTAGCTGGTTCAATTGATTGATTGATCAATGTCATTTCAATGGTGTAGGGATAATTAATAAAGCATCTTTTTAAATTTATTAACTCAGGTGTTACAATGACATCTGGACGAATGGCTCTGTAAAGAAAATGTTAAATGTTGAAACTTGCTAGACATTTGTTTAATAAAGCCAGGGCACATATTTCAGAGTAGCTACAATCTCATGAGGGAATAATCACAACGTTTTCAGGCCTTGCACAAACGTATTAACCTAAAGATCACTGTATTGGTACATAATAGCTCACTCATATTATAAATGTTACACATTTGAAATCATCAATCAGTCATTGTTAGACCACCATTAGAAACCTGGAAACACTGGACGGCCGTTTAGTCCCGGTGTGGAAATCATCAGCAGTGCGAATTTACGACTCCTGCATCTCGCAGGATTCGAACCCGGGACCTTCGGTATTGTGCGCGAACGCCTAACCACCAGACTACTGGGCCGGCATCTAAGTGCTACTATATGGATGTGACAAGTGACCGGCAAGAGTTGAAGATATACGTAGGTTATTAGTATTTGATTACAGATATCTTCGAAGCATTGTTCGTACATCCTAGGACAACTGAGCAAGCAATGCTGGAGTTAGGAAATGAGTACTAGCTAAGGATGGCAAATCAATAGATGAGGTAGTGAAATTTCATCTCTTCAGATGGTCGCGACATGTGTTACGCATGCTTAACCATCGACTGCCTCGACGAGCGATGTGTTGTGGTGTAGGAATAGGTTGGACGAAATCTAGGGGCGGCCAGACCAAAACATGGCAGAAGTCCATGAAGTCAAGGACAATTGAACTGAATCATGTTGCCAAGTGTAGACTGCTTGGTTGGGGTCCGCGAGACGAAATTCACCGATGGTTAGGGACCTTGAACGACATGGCTCAAAATCGTTTGCAATGGCGTAGGTTCATCCATTCTTTGAATTCTTTTAAATTCTAATCTGAATTCCTCATCACCTTTATCTTTCTTTTTCTAAACTCATTTTACTGAGTCATACTTCTCAAACAATTTCTATGAACCCTAATCTTCTCCATAACCGCTAATACTTCTATTATCTCTACCTCTATGAGATCTGAATTAACAATTCTATCTATCGGTGCTAATGTGGTATGGCAAATTGAACTGATGTAGGTACGTACGAAACTCCGCCAGTAGAACCTTAGGGGCTACTGCCGGTCCCAAGCCCGGATAAAGGAGGAGGGTTGGACATGGGGTTGGCGACCCCATTCCGTTGAAATCTCACTTGCCAAAAAAACGCCAACCAGAAAAAATAATTCAAACCATTTTAACTCTGCCCTGGGAGTTGGAAGAAGAATTATGACGTCTCGTGATGAAAGCCGAGTTCCCTCGGAAGTCACGGGGCCGATGACTCTTCTGACAACCAGAGCAACCATTTTTTTTAGGTACATGGAACGTTCGTACATTGTGGGAAACTGGAAGACTATTTCAAGTTGCGGCAGAAATGAAAAGATACAACCTCGAGGTGCTCGGCATCAGTGAAACGCATTGGACACAGGTAGGACAACTGAGACTTGCTTCAGGGGAACTGCTGTTATACTCTGGTCATGAAGAGGAAAACGCTTCACATACACAAGGAGTTGCACTGATGCTGTCCAAACATGCACAAAAGGCACTGATAGGATGGGAATCTCATGGACCTAGGATCATCAAAGCATCCTTCAAAACAAAGAAACAGGACATTACAATGAACGTCATCCAATGTTATGCACCTACCAATGACCACAATGACGACGTTAAAGATCCATTCTACGACAGGCTGCAGTCAATCGTCGAGAAATGTTCACCAAAGGATTTGACGATTCTTATGGGAGACCTGAATGCCAAGGTTGGAATGGACAACACTGGATATGAAGACATCATGGGACGACATGGACTGGGAGAAAGAAACGAAAACGGTGAGAGATTTGCAAACCTATGTGCCTTCAACAAACTGGTCATCGGTGGCACAATATTCCCGCACAAACGCATTCACAAAGCCACATGGATTTCACCGGATCACACTACTCAAAACCAAATTGACCATATCTGTATCAACAAAAAGTTCAGAAGGACCATGGAGGATGTGAGAACCAGGAGAGGAGCTGATATAGCTTCAGATCACCACTTGCTGATCGCCAAAATGAAACTGAAACTAAAGAAGCACTGGAAAACGGGAGAGACAACATCGCACAAGTTTAATACGGCCTTTCTTCGGGATACTGTAAAGCTCAACGAATTCAGGGTAGCCCTCACCAATAGGTTCCAGGCCTTTCAGGATCTACTCAATGGAGAGGACGCAACATTGGAGAACAATTGGAAAGGGATTAAGGAGGCAATCACTTCAACATGTCAGGAGGTCCTTGGTCGCAAGAAGCAGCATCACAAGGAATGGATCTCTGTTGATACTCTCGCAAAAATTGAAGAAAGGAGGAACAAGAAGGCAGCAATCAATGTCAGCCAAACAAGAGCAGAGAAAGTTACCGCACAAGCTGCATACACAGAAGCAAACAGAGAAGTGAAGAAGAGCATCAGAGCTGACAAACGAAAATATGTGGAAGATCTAGCAATGACGGCGGAAAAGGCTGCAAGAGAAGGAAACATGAGACAATTGTACGAAACAACGAAGAAGCTCACCGGAAACTATCGTAAACCAGAACGACCAGTGAAAAGCAAGGAAGGGAAAATAATCAGCAACACTGACGAACAGCGAAATAGGTGGGTAGAGCACTTTCAGGAACTATTGAATCGACCAGCTCCACTGAACCCACCCAACATCGAAGCAGCATCCAAGGACCTCCCAATTAATATTGAAGCACCTACGATTGAGGAGATCAGTATGGCCATCAGACAAATCAAGAGCGGCAAAGCAGCAGGACCAGATAACATTCCAGCAGAGGCAATGAAAGCAGATGTAGAAGCAACTGCAAAAATATTTCACATCCTCTTCAAGAAGATTTGGGATGAGGAACAAGTACCATCAGATTGGAAAGAAGGATACCTGATCAAAATACCAAAGAAAGGCGACCTGAGCAAGTGTGAGAACTACAGAGGCATCACTCTTCTTTCAATACCAGGCAAAGTCTTCAACAGAGTATTGTTAAACAGAATGAAGGACTTCGTAGACGCCCAACTTCGAGATCAACAGGCCGGATTTCGTAAGGATCGATCATGTACTGACCAAATTGCTACATTACGGATCATTGTGGAACAATTAATTGAATGGAACTCACCACTCTATATCAACTTCATCGACTGCGAGAAAGCATTTGATAGCGTGGATAGGAAAACACTGTGGAGGCTTCTTCGACACTACGGTGTGCCTGAGAAAATAGTCAACATCATACGGAATTCTTATGATGGATTCAACTGCAAAATCGTGCACGGAGGTCAGCTGACAAACTCGTTTGAGGTGAAGACCGGTGTCAGGCAAGGTTGCTTACTATCACCCTTTCTCTTTCTCCTGGTCATCGACTGGATTATGAAGACGTCAACATCTGGAGGGAGGCACGGTATCAGCTGGACAGTTAGGACGCAGCTGGACGATCTGGACTTTGCAGATGACCTGGCTCTTCTATCGCACACTCAACAACAAATGCAAGAGAAGACGACCAGTGTAGCAGCAGCCTCTGCAGCAGTAGGTCTCAACATACATAAAGGAAAAACCGAAATTCTCCGATGCAACACAACATGCACCAACCAAATCACGCTTGATGGAGATGCTTTCGAGGACGTTAACAACTTTACATATCTTGGCAGCATCATCGACGAGAAAAGTGGATCGGATGCAGATGTGAGGGCACGGATTGGCAAAGCGAGGGTTGCATTTCTACAGTTGAAAAATATCTGGAACTCCAAACAACTTTCAACCAAAACCAAAATCAGGATTTTCAATACAAATGTGAAGACAGTTCTACTGTATGGAGCGGAAACATGGAGAACTACCAAAGCCATCATCCAGAAGATACAAGTGTTTATTAACAGCTGTCTACGCAAAATACTTCGTATTCGTTGGCCAGACACCATCAGCAACAACGTACTGTGGGAGAGAACAAGTCAGATTCCAGTGGAGGAGGAAATCAGGAAGAAGCGGTGGAAGTGGATAAGACACACACTACGAAAAGCACCTAACTGCGTCACGAGACAAGCCCTCACATGGAACCCTCAAGGCAAAAGGAATAGAGGAAGGCCAAGGAACACACTACGCCGAGAAATAGAGAAAGATATGAGAAGAATGAACAGACATTGGACAGAACTGGAGAGAGAAGCCCAGGACAGAGTTGGTTGGAGAAAACTGGTGAGCGGCCTATGCTCCATTGGGGGTAACAGGCTTAAGTAAGTAAGTAAGTAAGTAAGGTACGTACGAAGTTCTACATTGTAACTGAGGTGCAAGTGGTAGAGTTTCATTCTCTAAGTTCGATAGTTTAGTTATGTCGAACTTTTATTATTCTTCTAAACAGCACCATAATGTTTTGTTCTGAACGAACAAAAACTCCGCCGTAAATGCATACCGAGAAATACAAACAGGATAGCATAAACAAATCTACTAAAGTGTTTGAATAATTCTTCATCAAATGAATTTATCAAATTTTGTCGTGATAAAACTTAATTGTGCACGAAAATACTTTTTCGATGTTATAATTACACTCTAAACTCATCAATCAATCATTGTTACACCACTAATTGAAACCTGAAGGCGCTAGACGGCCATGACTAGTGGAGTTCACCCTTGTCGGGTGTAGGAAGTAACTACTGAAGACAAATGGGTGAGGTCGCACAAAATACCTAGATTGATCAGAGTTAGATATTAATACCTTTGGATGCCTGCCGGCTCACTGGTCCAGAGGTTAGGCGTTCGCGCGCAACACCGCAGGTCTTAGGTTTGAACCCTGCGGGGTAGCAGGAGTCGTGAATGCGCACTGCTGATGAGTTCCATACCAGAACGAAAAAGCCACCCAGAGCTTTCAAACAATGTGTAAAAATACTGATCTCCATAACTCTAATTGGAAAAAATGATGCTATATTTATTAACTACACCAGTGTGACAACACTCCATGAATGTTTATGGCTTACATTGAATAATCAAACGAGAAAATGATAATTTTCAGTTCAGTTCTATTTGTTCTTGCCTTATAAATGAACAAAATAAAATTAAATTTTGCGCTTCAAGTGAAGTCAGACTGATTACAAATCAATCTTAAATAGTGTATTTTTTTAAAAAGTAGTCAAGTACTCTCCAAGTAAGTTAACACTGAGAGACATATTTTCTGAAATTACATAACAACATGGTTTGAATAGAAGTGTCGGTTTAGTTGTGCATCTTCATAATTTTGCAGTCAGAAAAAGAGACAGAGGGACCATATCACTCACTATTCATGCTATGATTGATCTCCCGTAGTACTGTGATATCTGAACTCATTAACACTAAGTGTTAACAAGTAAGAAATCACAATCTACTATCTTCTCTCAATTCTCTCTACAATTAACTAATCTCTCCGAATAAAACTATGTAATGTCTTACCAAAAGAAACTATATAATAAAATATTTTCAAAAAAGAGTTACTAACAACCTTCATCCTAATCTTCTGGTATTCGTCAACACCTTTACCTTTGTCTCTCTAAACTTATCTCACTGAATTATGCTTCTTGATCAATATGTTCAAATCTTAATCTTCTCTCATTGGCAGTAATTCTGTAGTGCCTCCACATATGTCCCAGTTCGCTTACATCTAACTTGGTTAAGCTCTTTCGATTAATTTATTTAACCAAGCCATTTGTGTATTGCAACAATTTATATGTACCATTCGTTCTGATTATTGTCTGGTTTGTATATGAGCTCACATGACGTGTCCCACTTGTCATTTGACCTTGTCGACTATTCGTCGCTTTTATTCATGTGTGCCTATTTCGCTTGTTGCATGTCTGTCTTATATTTGTCTGACTACATATTCTTAGTCTCACTCTATATCTTGGAGTTGGCTGATTAGCCTTCTCCAACGCGCTTCGCCTGTTCATTCGCTTCCTTCGCACATTCGTTCGCATTGTAATCCAAGGAGTTGGCTCAACAGCCTTCTCCAATTCACGTCGCTTCATCCCTTTTATCTACTGCTTCTTCGCTTCGCTTTGTGGTGTGTCTCAAATAAACGTATTGATCACTACGAGTTCACCTTTTGATTTTTAAATCGTCAGACGCTATTTAGTAATGATTGTCTGGACGAGCTAATTACTGAGCTTAAGAACACGCGCTAAATTGAGACACTACAATCCTTCTACTACTATCCCTAACACTATGGAATTTGAATGGACAATTGCGTCTCTGAGTTTAATGTGATTTGACACCCTGAACTGATGTACTTACGTACTTGCGAAGTTCTACATTGCAACTGACTGAAAAATCTTCAGCTTTTTGTTTTAAAATAGAATTGTTTATTTATAAGAACTTGAAACAAACACAAAAAGAAGACTTACTCAGTATAAATTGGTAACCAATGAGCTTGTTTACTGACATTTACAATATCCACAAGTAGTTTATATTGCTTAATGCCTAAATATTTCGGTCGAAATTGTATCAAGATATTAATTGAACTCATCGGTAGTAGATTACCACAGTTTGGGGTCAGTTGAAATGATTTGTTTAAATTTGACATAGTATTCAATGATTCATTTTGTTTATTGTCAGTTTGATCATTGATCATTGCCATTTGATCACTGACGTCCTTATCATCATGATCATTGTCATTATTGGTGTTGGCAATGCGAAGTATAAAATCCATCGGTATAAATGAAGTATTATACAGTGTGATCATTTTTTCTTTGGAAAATCCTTTTTGAGAAAATAGATTACATAAAAAGCGAATACGTCAGAATTGTAAAATCACATGATCATACACATTGTTCAGGTACAAAAATATAGAATCACTTGTAAATAATATTCACATGTTGACGCGTGAATATATCTGGACGGTGATATTTTTCTCTGAATAACCGTTCATCGAAAGAACAGATTAAGAAGGGATAGTATCAGGTAGTTATGAAACCATTCAGTAGTTGGTACTGAAGATTTCAGATGGGATAAAATCCAAACTGTAGAGATATCATCTTATCGTACTGCACTAAATAACAGATTACAAACTCCTTGTTATGCTTTAGATGATTAAAAGAGAGTAGTTGGTAGACAGCATTTTTTTTAATTTTCCCGGTTGATCGTAGTGAGTACCTCGATGTAGTTAGTGGTTAAGCTTATGTACTATGATGACTCAGTCGACTGATACTGACTGAAAAACATGTTCTCTCCAGGTCTTACCATTACAGCCAGGTGGGTTGTAGGATAGTCGTACTGAAAGCAATAGAATGTATCAGGAAGAAGATATTTCACCCGAACAACCCCTATTTAAGTTACCTTTAGCTGTTATCAACAGAAAGAGAGTTTTATAAGATGGTCTTTCTAAAAACGTTTTATTCGATCCTACGCCACATGGACTCCTGTCTCCGGGAGTAACCCGTCTAAACTACAAAACTAATACATCATAGAACACTTGTACAAACACTAAGTGTGACCAGTCTCAAGTAGTTGTCTAATAAGCTCCATGGTCATACTCTCATGTCACTAAGACTACTATGAATTTAGATTCTTTTTCATGTAGCTTAGCGAAAAATATTCTTCTATGATGATGACTACCGGCAAGTAATAACAACCCACAATAACACAAAACTATAAGTTATAAAAAAGCTAGATCTGACTAATTTTAACATTTTGTGCCGCAATCTGACCAGAACCTCTTCAAGGAGAATGAAGTACGATCCATGATTAATTAAATACAGTATTTTATATAGGTATAGTGTCTCAACATACATAAAGGAAAAAGCAAAATTCTCCGATGCAACACAACATGCACCAACCAAATCACTCTTGATGGAGATGCCTTGGAGGACGTTAACACCTTTACATATCTGGACAGTATCATCGACAACCAAGGTGGATCCAATGCAGATGTGAGGGCGCGGATTGGCAAAGCAAGGGCTGCATTTCTACGACTGAAAAATATCTGGAACTCCAAACAACTTTCAACTAAAACCAAAATCACGATTTTCAATACAAATGTCAAGACAGTTCTACTGTATGGAGCGGAAACTTGGAGAACTACCAAAGCCATCATCCAGAAGATACAAGTGTTTATTAACAGTTGTCTACGCAAAATACTTCGTATTCGTTGGCCAGACACCATCAGCAACAACGAACTGTGGGAGAGAACAAACCAGATTCCAGTGGAGGAGGAAATCAGGAAGATGCGATGGAAGTGGATAGGACACAGACAACGAAAAGCACCTAACTGCGTCATGAGACAAGCCCTCACTTGGAACTCTCAAGATAAAAGTAAAAGAGGAAGGCCAAGAAACACATTACGCCGAGAAATAGAGAAAGATATGAGAGGAATGAACAAACATTGGACAGAACTGGAAAGGGAAACCTAGGACAGAGTTGGTTGGAGAAAACTGGTTGGCGGCCTATGAGCCATCGGGGGTAACAGGCGTAAGTAAGTAAGTAAGTAAGTATAGAGTCTTCTGTGTAATTCGGTGCCCTAATTCTGTCAGAAAGATTTGTTTAAATCTTGACAAATTTTTGTACAAAATAAAACACAAATCGATGGTATTTAATTACCGAAATAAATCAATATGATCGTTTTTCTACTCACCATACGAAACTTGACCGAATTCCACTGATGAAACATTAAAATGAAATGTTGGTCCAACCACAGTACCACTAAAAATCAATTTAAAGAATAATAAAACATGGTTTTTATTTTGGTAGGAATATTGAGCGAATTCGAATGTTCAAAAATTAGAATACTCATGATGTAAACGTCTTTTGATAGTTTTTTAGAAATGATCAATATGGAAATACTTTAGATAACCGATCAATAGCTAACTGTTTAAAGTAGTCAAGTCGAGGAACACATTTAAATGACGAAGTTTTTTTCGCATTACGGGGTTGTGAAGATTGTTAAGTTCCACACATTTTTGAAACCATGAGTCGACCAATGTTAGACCACTATTAGAAATCTGGAAGAAGCACTGGGCGGCCGTTTCGTCTTGGTATGGGACTCCTCAGCAGTGCGCATCCACGACTCCTGCATCCCGCAGGATTCGAACCCAGGACCTACAGTATTGTGCGCGAACGCCCTAACCGGTCTAATGGCCGTCCAGTGCTTCCAGGTTTCTTCGAATGGTGGTCTAACATTGATCGATTCATGGTTTCAAAAAAAGAAGTTCTTTTTGCTAAGACGTTTACAAAATCTATTACTTTATCAAAATGGTACTTTGAGACATTTATTCTTCAACTCTTCTCATGAAGGTGAAAAATCGGGAGTAAAACACTATCACTAAATAGTAAATAATGTCATATTAGAGATAACACTGTCTTCGTCTGGATTTTCAGGAATTCAAATTTTACCAGGTGACTCAGTTGCCGACTTAGAATATGCTGATGGCATAGTTCTATTTGGTGAAGAAGCTGACAAAATGCTGAATCTCCTGACCAAGCATGTTCGAGATGTAATCCTCCCTGTCGAAATGCAAAATTTTGTTTCAGGATTGGCTTACATCGGTACCTAAACTAGTGGTGATAGGGAGTGAAGTAATCGATCGTGTCGACTGCTTCACTTATCTCCGTAGTCTCATTAATTCTGTTAGCCTGGTGTTGGACTATCCTTCTTCTAGTTTTCTAATAGTAGTCTAACAATGATTCATTTATGATTTCAGTGTGAAACACAGTAATCTATGAACTTAAATGCTTCATAATTAATAACTATTCAGAAACATTTAAAATCTTTAAATACTGTCCACATACATTTGATAAAGTGCGAAGACTTGACTAGTAGATTTCAACCCCGTCAGCTACAGACGGTAACTACAGAAGACACTTAGTCAGATAGGGCAAAAATCCTTAGATTGATCAAAGTTAGACATCAAAAACGTTGGATACTGTCTCAGTGTTCTAGAGGTTAAGCTTTTGCGCGCAAGATCAGAAGTCCTGGGTTCGAATCCTATGAGTTTCAGGAGTCATGAATGCGCACTGCTGATGAGTCTCATACTAGGACGAAAGGTCCGTCCACTGCTTCCATATTTCTTCTAATAATGGTGATCTAACAATGACTCATTCATGATTTCAATAAAAAATACCCGACCGTAGCTGCTACCTTGACGTGGTGGTCGGGCTTGCCTATCGTCATGACCCAACCGAGCTATACTGGCTGGAACATATGTTCCTGCAGGTCCTACCATGCCAGGCAGATCGATTGGAGGACGATGAGACTAAAAGTAGCTACTAAAGGTCTGAGGGCGAAGTCGTACTGCTGATTGTAGAGAGGTGTGACAGCAGTAAGGTGTTTCCCTCGGACAACCAGCATCTGCAGCGATGCTGCCTTCTCACAAGGAAGGAAGTGGTTAGAAAAAGTCGACCCAAAAAATGTCACACCTCACCCTACCTCACGGATTTCCGACTCCGTCGGTAGGGGTGCCCACTAAGGGCTTTCAAGAACGGAGCTAACACTCAAAAAACCTCTCATCAAAAGGCCGTGCGTGACCTGCATCAAGCAGTTGTCCCTTGGACTCTGCGGTCACGCTCACAGGTCTCTAAGACCAGCACTAATCTATCTTCCTTTTCAGGTCCCTCAAGTAACAACCTTCCACGGTGTGGGTGGCCGGGAAGTGACAACCGCCCTCATACCCGTAACAGCACGCGAGAAACCAATCTGGTCTAAATCAAATCCTTCCTACACTCACACATACCTCTCTTCTCTCCACGAATAACTCTACTCACATTCCCTTATCTGACTGCACCGCTAATGCAAACGATGCGAGTTCACGAAACGTCATTCCTGGTCTCTTGAAACCTCGTTCTAGACTACATGTTGGAGCATTCAATGTACGTACATTGTGTCAAATAGGGCAACAGGCATCATTAGCTAGTACTTTAGAATCTCGTTCCATCGATGTATGCTGCGTCTCGGAAACGCGCATACACGATCCTAGTAAAATTATTAATCTGATTTCACTTTGTCAAAATAAAGAAGCAGCTCGATTTACTCTTCGTGTATCCGGTAGCCCTGATGCTGCTTCCAGGAGTCTTGCTGGCGTAGGCATAGCATTGAGTCATAGAGCTGAACAATCTCTCCCTGACTGGATCCCAGTAGATAGTCGCTTGTGCGCTGTCCGACTAAACGGGACAGTAAGGACTCGTAAAGATAGGGACACTCGCCGTTGCCTCTTCATCGTATCTGCCTATGCCCCCATTGACTGCAGTTCAGATGAGGTGAAGGACGAGTTCTACAGAAAGCTTTCGGACCTCCTCCAAAAAGCTAGGCGCTCTGATATAGTAGTAATAATGGCTGGTAACTTTAATGCTCAAGTAGGTAGGTAGACTGAGTAAAAATGAAAGACACCTAGGTGGATGTTATGATGTCGCAGCTGATATAAAATAACTTCATAACCGTTTTTTATAAATAAATTTTAATTCAAAGTTGTTCAATAAATTTCTAAACCATAGTTTAAATTTTCAATAAAAAAACATTGCAACAATTTTCAAATTTCTCTTACCTAAATGTAATCTCTTCAAAATTTGATGCACCATCATCAAAGGCGAATTGAAATATTTCATTGAATTGCCCCAATAATTCATTACAATAAAATTCAATTTGTATTACTTGATAACCACCAGGACAAATTAATCCTTCATCTGGTAATAAATGAAAATATTTTGCAAACTGACCAACATTTTCACTCACCATATCATGATGATCAATAGCAGTAGTAGTTGTTTTACAATGAACTGTAAACATTGTTTCAATTAAACCAGTATTAGATATGACTAATTCATAGCGATGCTTTGAACCAATAAAAATTTTGCCCATATTTAAACATTTATAAGAAAATTTAATTTTTGGTCCAAAACCTTCACCATGAATTGTTAGATTTAAACGTTTTTGTACACCTTCAACATCACAATAAAATAGATCTTCATAAATTGTAGCTTTTTCAGGATTAAAATGCACAATGAATTGGTGGGTTGTGTAGGGTGGAATACGACCTTCAATTGGTTCAATGTTAAATGGTGAATAGTCAATTGTTTGAATATTTGTTGGATATGGCTTCATCAGATTAGATGAAAATACAAAGAAAAGGAATCTATGTTAAATTAGTTTCAGTGAAAAAAAGAAAGTTAGCAGAGAAAATACTCGATTCTCCATTTTTGGCGCCTTTTTGAATAATCCCACATATCTTGACGCTTTAAAAACAATTGTTGTGTATGATCGATGTTTCTGACGATGTACTACTAGTTCACGATGATTCAATAAACTAACTTACATTTTAGCAACTGAAAATACAATACCTGGTATGACGTTTCTGTTGGGGATGTTAGATAAACCCAAAACTCGCTTGTTAAATGCCTTAATTCTTGGATTTCACGTTTGCCAGCATGGGCTGATCAGTTGACCTTGAGATTTCATTTCCCACCAGGAAAATTCATGGTGGTTGGTGATTGGCTGCTGTGTATTTTAGTGTGCTATTTTTGTGACTGTCACAAGGACGTTTCTATGATGTATAAATAAACGAGAGTTGTGTGCTTGATTGTATTGTGACTGCTAGGTGTTTGTAGAATATACTTTCTACGCTTGGGATTCAAGGTAGCCTATCTGGACGCTGGTTCATTGTCTCGTTCGCGTTTGTCGACTAAGGTGAACTCGTAATAGCATCAAGCGTACCTAGTGACGAACCCGACAGTTTCATTAGTTCAAGTCAACAAAAGATTCTGATCACAAACTATTACTTCAGATCTTTCCCATAATACAAACGAATCCTTTTCAGGACATACATTTTCCCTTTAAAAAGCTGCTTTTGCAAAGTACTGCTAGTTCCTAACAGAGAAAGAGTTGATATTTTCAAAAAACCTAAATTACTCTACCATTAAACACGTATATTATATGTACATAACAAAATTCTTGCTGACATAGCTTTGTTGTTGTCTGCACCCAATCAACTAACGGCTATTTCAAGGCACGAGTTGGATTCAGTTGGTAGTCAATTTTAAATTTTTACACGCCAGTTTTTATATTTTTCAGTTTTAACATTATTTACAACCAACTTTTTTTACTACTGGTTAGTATAATTGACTTTCGGTTGGCAGATGAAGAATATTTTGCCTACCGCAGGAAAGAATTTATACATTCCTATTCTGGAAGTGTTTCGAAGTAACAGTCCACCCGAAAGCTGAATATCAAACTTGTTTCTGTTAGCATCATCCAACCAGCTGAGTATCTTATGATATTTCTGATTGTGGGATTTTTATGTTGACTAACAAGTTCTTTGTATATTGTTGCGCGCTTAAATCGAACTATAAATATAATATACTTTTCAGTGTTTTTGCTGTTATTTCTGACTTATCTACTGGTACATTCTTTACCACTGAAGCACTTATTGGTCATTCTTGAGGATGACCAATTAGTAAGCCGGATTTCACTCTTTCTACTTATTACAAATAATTCATGCATAGTTCAGGTAATTAGTCATTGACACTAGTTATATCAAGCTCGATAAAAACCACATTGAGTTGAAAAATATTGATGCTCTCATGTCAGTCAGTCAATCAGGAAGAAAGATGAACTCTGTGCTTACGTACATCAGTGAAAGTTGCCGTACCACATGCCGTAGCACAAGGGTGAAATTGTCAATTCAAATCCCATAGTAGTAGAAATAGTAGAAGTATTAGTAGTAATTGGAAAGACTAAGGTTCAAAGATGTTATTCATGGAGTATTATCCAGTGAAATGAAAATTTTACAAGAAAAAGATGTGTAGAACCTCCACCTATATATTTGAATTCGGTTACATTTAATTTGGTTAAGCTCTTTCGATTAATTTATTTAACCAAGCCATTTGTATTGTAACAACTTATATGTTGTACCATTCGTTCTTATTATTATTGTCTGGTTTGTATGAGCTCACCTGACGTGTCCCACTTGTCATTTGATCTTGTCGCTCTTATTCATGTGTGTGCATGCCTATCTCGTTGATCACATGTCTGTCTTATATTTGTCTGACTATATATTCTTAGTCATACTCTATCTCTAGGAGTTGGCTCATTAGCCTTCTCCAACGCGCTTCACCTGTTCATCTGCTTCCTTCGGCCATTCGTTCGCATTGTAATCCTGAGAGTTGTCTCAGCAGCCTTCTCCAATTCACATCACTTCATTCGTTCTATTCACTGCTTTTCCGCTTCGCTTTAAGGTGTGTCCCAAATAAACATATTCATCGCTATGAGTTCCCCTTCTGATTTATGACCGTCAGACGCTACTTTGTAACGATCGTCTGGACTAGCTAATTACCAAGCTTTAGAACCCGCAGTTAGATCGGCCACCGCACAGATGAAAGTCATTAGGTGTTTAGATTAGAATTTGAGAAAACAGAGAATGGATGCATCAGCGCGTTAGCAAACGATTTTTAGCCATGTCGCTCAAGGTCTCTAACTATCGGTTACTCACGGACCCCAACCAGCTAGTCTACTCTTACTAATATGGATCAGTCCACTGGTTAGTGACTTTATGCATTTGTGCGATGGGTATATCAAAGAAGATAAACGTACTGACGCTGGAGGTACTTGCAACTACATCATTATTATGTATTTATATTTCTTTTATCGTATGATTTCGTTTGACCCTTTAAAGTTACACTTAATCTATAATTTACAGTTTTTCCTATTCAAAATCAATTTTAGTAGACCTGATCATGTATAATCGTTATGTTTTATCTTGCATTATGATGCAGCTTGGGTCTATCTGTTTATAAGCTTCATCTGCCTGAAATACAAATATGTTAAACGTTATTTTTATTTAATGAACAGAAGGACAGGATACAGAAAGCAAGAGAAATCTTGAACAAACAACAATCTACTCGCCAACCCAAATTTATTAACTCTAAAGAGTATTGTAACTAGTGTTTTTGATATACGAATTAAGTCAAAGGTTGGAAATCATTAAAACAGTATATCAAATAGAGCTTTGAAATGCACATCAACGTTATCTTAAAATTCACCCAACAATTAAAGAGCATACAAACATCTCTCCAAATAGATTAATGGCCAAATACTTATAATCTTGTTAAGTTGATGTTAAAATTGTATTTTACGGTTAACTAGCAGGATATAGACCACCAATATATGGTAAAAAACGTTCCATGTACCTTTTCTCGTGCAGTTCATGGTATAGAGCGTTTAGCAACAGCCAAGAATTGTTTTATAACAAGCAATCTGATGATTAACGGGTTATTGTAAGTTGCAGTCACTAAATAAGACTGTATTGTCATTCTTGAAGTACGTGTTGCTTTAAAAAGCTCATTTAGCATTATTTCAAGTAAAAGAGATGCAAAGAACTCTAAAAATTCTCAAATTGTTTACTATACGCTTAGTTTTGCTGACAGTTCTGCAGCAGTAAATGAATCCTAACAATAGATAGTTATTTAAGTCTTTGATATTGATGCTGACCACATCAGTTCTATTGAACATATCGTAGCTGAATGCGCCTGGTCACACATCCACACCAAAACACCACTGAGTGCGCCATGCAGTACATCTTCTGGCATCAACTAGCAAGGTTAGTTCACTCACTCCTTGATATCCCAACCATCACTCAGCTATACCTTTGATTCTCTTCAGTCCTGACTTTTAGTCTGACCTGTCTTAGGATGTCTGTGATCTGAAGGATGGTGTAAACGAAAACTCTAACTGTCTGTGATATTATCATTTCTCTTTCATTCAGCGACGATAAGATAAATCATGAGAAAGAGTTGGTACAACTTGTCTTTCCGACCAGACTACACATATCAAGCTAAAAATGTTTCTCAACGATCTGTAAAATATCCAAAAATAGTCTAATGAACAAGATTAACCAAGATTATTACTAGAATGTGGTTAATAATTACTTACTATTGGTTGATCAGAAAATTTCTTCATCCATGTGATTAACTTTCTCTTCGATTTAGAATCAAAATCCTGCACGTTATTAAAAGTTCCAACTAGTAGGTCATTTATTAATAACTCTTCCTCGCTATTTTCGAAAGGACTCCACTTAAATCTGACGAAATCAGATGAATCATTAACTATGGAAAGATTAGTTTGTGAATGCATTCCAATGAAAGTTCCATCCACAGTCACTTTATCATTTTTTAAATAAACCAAAGACTCTCTTCCTTGACCATGAAGGTTAATTTGAAGTCTCTCTCCTTATCAAATGAAAAAGTTAACGTATATTATCTAATTTACCAGTATCATAAATAACGAACATTTTCTGAGAAACTTCCGTTGTATTTTCAGGAATAAAAGAAACCTTTATTTCTTTGAGTGCACCAGACTGAATATTCAAAGATAGAGGCTCAACAAAGAAAGGCCTAAAGTCAAAAATAGACGGCACTTACTTCATAATTTCAAATTTTACTGAGGCTTGAACGTCACCAACATTCCTCACACAAAGTAACTTACTACTTGTTACTTTGACTGGGACCTCACCGAAACTAATATCATCAGGCAACTCAAGAATGGCTCTTGGGCCGATACAAAACACAGGGACAGAGAACAGTTCTCTATCTGTTACGCACATAAGATCATGTCGATAATCATGATTCGCATCAGGTGTAAAGACAATTGTAAAAGAAAGTGACAATCCAGCTGCTACTTTAGACCCCTGATTATTTATACGCTTAATCTTAAAGTATGGGGTGTCATTTTGAATCAAATGAGCTGTTCTTGAAACCTGAAAGACACATTATTACGGTAATTCGACAAACCTTATCCAAATTACGAAGTATTAGTGGCAATTCGTACGACTTTCCGGGCTCATAACGCTGGAACACAAGCTCAGAAGGAAATGGTTGAAACAATGGACGAGTGACAGGAAACGATGTTGTCTAAAGTAATTTAGATGATCAAATAATGGTACCTTTTGATCGCTAATCAAGGACATGTCATGCAGGGCCAGTGTCTCAGGAATATGACTGTAAAATAATTGATGATATAATTCTTCTGAAGACAAAGACATTTTATAGATAAACAATGATGGTGCAAGCTAAAAAAATGAACATTTACAAATATAAGTAAAAACGTACAGGTTTGTCTTCATTACGGTGTTTTAATAAAATACCTCCTGCAGCACTTCCTTTTCCCTCACATTTCGCGTCAAAAATTCTTCTGGAAGAGCAAATATTAGGAAGGCTGCAGGTAAGAGATTCAACTGAAGACATTGAGAAGGGTGTTTTGAAAGTTTGGTGACTGTTGTTATGGTATCTGGAACATAAGGTCATCCAATATCCAATAACCTTTTGGTGAGTTGTATGAACTAACCGATTTCTTGGTACTCGCTTCTAGACTTAATGTATCAGTTTCATATCTGAATTATCATACAATTTAAATGGCCTTATAACTCAGCTGTACTAAGCTGATTGAAGATTATAGCAATTTACAGAGTCAGTATATATAGAATAAAAAAGAGTTTGTTCTAGGGTATTGTGTTGCTTGAATCAGAAACCTTCACGTAAAAGAAACAGTTCTTCCTCATTCGAAAGCTGAAACACTCAATGAAGAGAAACAAAAGCAAGGAAATAGTCGTAACGAATAAATGATAATGGGACCAGATGGAAGTAAGAGCCAAACGGTGAAGCTGGCAAACATGAGATAAAAACGGTCATGAAAGTAATGAAAGTCCGCCAAGTTTTTCAAATCATAATAAAAATTAAAGTTCAGTATGAACAAGGTGCTATACATAAATGTTAAGATATAAATTCAATTATATCCTAATTACAAGGTCGTTGTTTCGATGCATGATACGTAGTCGAAATATACGGTGGAAGAAGCATGAAAACCTTCGGTGTTTTCTGAAGTACAGTGAGCATGAGAAAGTTAGAATAGAGGAAGTCATGGAAAATATCAAAAACTAGTCATCTAATCCCCGGATATTTTTTAAGTGTCTTGAATATTCAACGCTTGACAGAGATTTTGTTGGTGACACCAATAGTCGAGAATCGCAAACTCGATCATATTATAAATCAGTGATGAAATAATTTGGAGATATATCTGGAAAGTAGCTGGTGTTTCATGTAAATATTGAACCTAGAAGACTAGTCGTCGTGATCGTATCCAAAGAACAGCGTACCGTTAAGCTGTGATCGTAAAAACTATTGAGGTTATTATAACTGTCAAAGACTTGCACTACAGTTTACTTTCTTGATGTAATTAACGTTAATACTTGTAATATAACAATCTGAGAGTGGTTACTTCGCCACGTGAGTCTTGCTTTTTGCCCTATTATCGTCCATCAATTTTAATCCTTAGGAAAATACCATCCACAGCCAAGTTTCTGCAATATTGTATTCGTATTCGATATACTTTTGTATGGATTTGCTATCATACTTTTGACTTGATAAGATCGACATTTCATTATCCTTATTCGTTTCAGCGAACAGACTCATCCTTTCAACGACTATATTCTATATTTATCGACTACACTGTTGAAAGCACTAAGCTGTTACATGAAATTTACTTAAAGCTAACCGAAATAGCTGGTCATCTGTTATAAAAAATTGCATCCAGATGCACCGTCATAGAATATGTACATATTGCTATTAGTATAACGACTGCAAGTTTCGTAAAATGCCATCGTAGCTGACAAGATATCATATTAGATGTAATCGTAAGTCGTGACTAATGTGATGAGACTCCAAAAAACATTTCACGGCCTCCTTTTCGTAAACTGGCTATAATCATTTCGTTTATATGGGCTTAAATGATATGAACCTATCATTACAGGTTTCCAAACACTTTCCAGTTATTTATCACTGAAATGATTGACAACGTATGTCATTATTAGCGAATGGTACCGAGAAAACAAGAATGGAATGCAAGTAAATCAACTGGTTTGTACTAGCTTGTGAAAAGGGCTTTGGATATTGGAGGTTATACAAAAGAATGTAATACTTATAATAACTTATGAAGTTAACGAACGTGGCGCAATTCGATATTACGGTAATATTAGTCTCAACCGGGCGCTAAGGAATGATGTATTGGTTACCGTTCTGGAATGCGCTTGCTAAACGATGTTTCAGTCACCGAAATAACCACTTATTTCACTGAAACTTATCATCGTTGGAAGTATCTCAAATTTTTTTACGAAAGCTTTTAGTGGGTGAGTCGTGATTAATCGTGATCAACGCTGAATGCTAATTACGAACACGTCACTCTAAAGATAAATAAATGCAGGGTAAAGAATATATTTGCTGGTGGTTTCGTGGTGTCGAAAGAACACCAAAATTACACCATGAAAATGGACGAAATAAAGAACAGTGACATCGAAGATGGCAGCAACACAAACAGAAATTTACGCGCAAGTAATAATTGGTCAAACAAAAGGAGTACAATAAAACAGTCATTTTAACAATTGCGTACAAAAATAAATATTTACATTTCACCAACTGCGTTATGTTCGCAAAAGTATTCCACTACAAGGTCATGCCCAAAGCGTATAACAGGTTTGGTTGTATAATGCATCAATTAATATCTACAAGTATAGGTCACTGATTAGCATACTCCATCTTAATCTAACAATCAAAGGAAAGACTACAGTGTATCGCTCATGGACAAGTGAAAATCTCTGTGATGATATTTGACTGCTCCCGCAAAACTTAGTAAAGATCCCTTGCAAACATAGAGTGCTGTAAGTTACGTCTCTAGCATACGACATATTAAGACAACAAAATTGATCATAAAGCTTAATTATCAACAAAACAAGTGTCTTGCGAGGGGAGGACTCAATTCTAACAACAGTTTCCATGGGCTATCTCCGAATTTACTTCAGTCGCAACTGATCCTAAACACGTGGAATATGGCACAAATCACTATAGTCGCCAAACATTATTCGAACAGCACTCTTCCATATTACATGGGTGTTACTCTCCATACAGTACTGTTGAAAGTAAGAAGGACCTTTATTTGCGTTAGCCTAACGGCTATCTCTTGTCGCTGAACTTTTAACACAGTTGCAGCACGTTTGGAAGAATTATTACTTCTCATTCACTGTTCTACTAACAATAATAAGTAAATGAAGCAAAATTCTGACTTCGAGTAAAATGATTTTAACAATTATTCTAGGAAGTCACCGCCGAATGGCTATCTTCGGCCATATGTACAAGGTGACTTGAATCTAGATAAACTGCCAATCATCTCAGGCTACTTATTATCCCTGTCTTCTAACGGGTTTCTGTACTAGAATGGCGAATTCTCTCCGTTTATTTTCTGAAACATGAAAACTTGTCAGCTGCACTAGGGTTCGAATAGTTCACAATCGAAATTGTTTGGTACTCCAGAAGGAATTGTTTTGACTTGAGAGTTAGACAAACAATGGATTAGATTTTCACTACGAAATGCCTAGTCCATCTATTGCATGTTGCAAATCACAATCAAGATAACTGATTCGCTACTAGTAATGTCTTCTGAAATCGTTGGCTCAGATAAAATTATGCTTCAATGCAACTCACAAGAATATCACTAAGTGATATTACGCTAAAACTCACTTCAATTCTGTTTTAGTCGGGTCTAACGATGGTGTGCTTATCTCGCTCCCATACTTTACTTCAACGTTCTATGGAGTAAATCCAAAATCGAACTAAATTCAGTCTCAAATACAGACCTTACGATGAGCACCGGGACTTTACTGTTTAAAAGTAATTCATACAGAATTCGTATTACTTAATTTCAGTCCTAAATGTGACATTAAATAGGTGCAACCTAACAGATTACATAGATCTGCTTCCCAATCTTTGTATTGCAGGTCTGAGATGAGCGGCCATAGGCCCTTGATTCCATCACAAAAAAATAACCAATGTCTTAAAACGAATATATCGGCAGATCTATGTTACATGTTCAATCATCTCCATTTCATATCAATACAAATGCATTTATCACCTTTACGGATTGATAGGAAGTTGTGGTATTATAACCGACACTGAGAAATCTATCGATTTAAAGTGCACAATATTTTGATTACAGCCTCAGTATCATCAAAATGCTTAACCGACTTGGTGGAAGACAACTCAGGTAATCCTAGAGAAAGTACCTGCGGTATTGAGTGGTCATGACTTCAGATTTAATTTCCAAACGACATACGTCCGTTTCTAATAACACAGTTCTCCCTCAATTCACTGCTTTTCTATACGTTACTACTGGGTTGGGAATTGAACATTTCCGAGTATTATTACAAAATACAACTACTCTTGACTGCCAGCTTCACTCAACATACAAATTCAATTCCACAATCATTTCAAACATATTTATCGATAAGAAACAATGTGTAATGACCATATGTTATCAATCGAGAAAGAACTTTAAGGTATCTCCTTTTTTTCGTTTTGTCAGCTCTGTGTGAATTAAGATAAAAGTGTGGTAATGATAAAATCAACGGTGTGTAATGAGCGCTTGTGATATGGCCAACATGAGTTGAAACAAAACTAGCAACCACTTCATGAAAATCATTTCAGTGAGCTTATTTTTACAGAAAACGTTATTTCAAAATATATATAAGGGTTGCATGATTTTTTTTCACCCTTTTTTTTGTAGACTACAAATGTGTGTATATGAAAGTGTATGGATGTATGTATGTATATATAAGGCCAATTTTGAAAAAAAAGGTTTTGGAGGTGTTAAGTAAAAGAACAAGAAAAACAAAGTACAGCTGTAAATAAAGATTCAAAATGAATTTTGAAATAAAAAAATTCACAACAATTCATGAACATACTACTTACTTACTATACAAGAAAAGATATACAGAAAAAAAGTCACTTTGGGGAATAAATTACACACACACACACACACACACAAAGAAAAACTATACACACACGCTCGCACGCACACACACACAATGTATGTTCAGATTGATGAGAAGAGAGAAATGTCAAGAAATGAAGAAAACCACTGGAGAACAACAAGTCAGTCTTTTTTACACCAGGTTTTTGGAAAGAGTTGATGATGGATGGATGGATAGAAATCACTCAACCAACAACTAATTGTCATCAACATCCCGCTCCCGACTGCTGGGAATATGATGCATGTTACTGAACAATATAGCTGAGAAGTCATTTACAAGCCTAATATATGTATTGTGTAACATATATGAATGTGATATACGCTATTTTTGAGATGAGATTGAATTCGAGTTTTATCATATATATACGTGCAGTCAAATTATTACATTTTTTTTCACTCTGAAATTGTGCAAATACATTTGTCGCGAATTTTGTTGCTGTGATTATTATTATCATTATGATTAGTGAAAGCGCGAAAATGTGTATAAATCATATGAAAATTTGAGAATTACAAAATGTTTGTGTTGTGTTGTTGTTGCTGTTGTGGTTTTTTCTCAAATCCTGATGTAGTAGTAGTAGTAGTCACAAAACATTTGAATATTATTATTATTAGTTTAAATGTTATAAACTGGACTAAAATAAATATATTCATATGTATATATATATATATATATATATATATAAAGCAAACAGAATGAAAAATGATTTCAAGAAGAAACTGTACACAAGTAGTAGTAGTAGTAGTAGTACATTTGAACTACATCAGCATTCCGTGTGAACAGAATCATGGTGGATAGTAAGTAAGTAGTATTGAATAGAGCGATTATCAACTATCGAAAATCTTTGGGAATTGACAATAGAAGCATACGACCCACATACATGTTTGGCGGCGGTGGAGGCGGCGACGGCGTCAGCGGTGGCAGGAGCAGTAATCGATTAGAAGTTAGTAGGTGGGTGGGTGGGTTAGTTGGTTGAAGGAAGGAAGAAGCATTTCAGATAATAAATATCACATGACGACATATTGACTGTTTCTTACTTATACATCTAATATATATAGATATAAACCCTATCGATTCGTTGAAGAATCACGAGGTTGACGTATAGTTGAAGCATTATTATTAGTCATACGATTACTTTTATCTACAAGTCGTTGAAGTCGTGCATTCTCTGCTTTAAGATCTTCTAATTTCGATTGAACTTCTCGTAGCTAAATAATAAATTTAAAACAAACAAACAAAAATTAGTTAAGAAAATGCAAACAGATAATAAATAAATAGTACACAGTCAACAAAACTGGTCAAGTATTATTGAGATTTGTTTAAGCAAAAACGGCCGGACAAAAATAAAATGTATGTGTCTAAGAGTAGTTTAAGTACGTACGGTACGTTGGAACACTTACTTCATCATCAATAGAGTTAACCTAAAGAATAATATTTTTAGTATTATTATTATTAATATTATCATTATTACAGAGTATCTTATGTGTGAAAAGAGTAAGAAAATATCTGTATGATAAAAATTTGTTAGTAGTGTGTGTGTGCTAATTGCGCTCAAAAGAATTGAAGGAATGTATACACACACACATCATTATTTTAGCGTACAAACAAAAAAAAATCATGTTTAATTCTTGAACTTAAATAAAAATAGTATTATAAAACAAAAAATCATAATGCACACTGAACCAGAAAATAATAAATACCATGCTAGAAAACAAACAAAATCATACAAATACAGTAGTATTTTGCACTTTATGGTCGGTCAGTCAATCAATCAGTCAGCTGCGACGTAGAACTTTGTAGATAAGTACATCAGTTCATGTTGCCGTACAACATCAGCACAGAGATGTAGTTGTCAGTTCAAATCCAATAGTAGTAGAAGAGGTAGTAAAGGTGTTAGAAGTAATCGGAGAGGTTAGAATTAGAAGATATTATTCAAGTAGTATGATTCAGTGAGAAAAGTTTAGAAAGTCAAAACAAGAGGTGTTGAAGAATCCAGAAGATTAGGATTTAAGAGAACACAAGGCATAAATGCACCGGCGCCATTGCGAACGATTTTGAGCCATGTCATTCAGGATGTCTAACCATTGATTATTATCATCTCGCTGGACCCAACCAGGTAGTCGACAATTAGCGACATGGCTAAGTCCACTAGTCAATGACTTCATGGATTTGTGCCAAAACACGTTAGCGCACAGAGATGCAATTGTAAATTCAAATCTCATAATAGTAGATATAGTAGCAGTCATTATTAGTGGTTATGGAGAAGATTAGGGTTCGAAGAAATTATTCAATAAGTATAGTAGCCCAAGTGAAACAAACTTAAACAGAGAGGAATAAAGGTGATGAAGAATTTAGAGTATTAGGATTTTTGAGAGAAGACAGAGAATGGGTACACCTGCGCTATTGCAAGCGATTCTGAGATATATCATTTAAAGTCACTAACCATTGGTTACTATCGTCTCCTGGACCCCAACCACGTAATTTACACCTACTAAAATGGCTCAGTTCAATTGTCAATGACTTCATGGATTTGTGCCATGCTTTGGTCTGGCCTCCCCTGGATTTTTTCCAACCTACTCCTAGATCACGAAATATCGCTCGTCAAGGCAATCGGTGGTTAGGAATACGTAACATATGCCCCAACCACTTCAACTGATGACGTTTCACTGCTTCATCTATTGATCTGCCATCCTTACCATGTAGGGTTGTGAAGATTGTTAAGTTATTTTGAAATCATGAATGAATCAATGTTCGAGTAATGCGAGTAGCTGGAGTCGTGGATACGCACTGCCACTGCTGATAAGTCTCATGTCAAGACGAAACAGCCGTCTTTTAGTGCTATCAGGTTTCTTCTGATGATAGTTTAATATTTATCAATTCATGGTTTCAAAATAAGGGTACTGTTAGTCAACTGTTAGTCAAATAGATAGATCGTGGTTTCATCTTAATCGAAACTCTTCACCTGGATATACACCTATATCCTATTGTCAATGTCCACACTGGATTGCGAACTGAGCACCGATTTTCTTTAGATGTATAACCAGTTATTCACGAAGCTGTTTAATCCATGTAGCCAATAATATACCAAATATGTACAGTTTTTATGTCGTCAATAATAAAAATTTGATTTATCCTAATGATGCGCTTCTGCATTGAATCCTGATCAGTATTAATCTGTATCGTCTGAGTTACCTTTTTTTTTTTGAAAAAAAGCCTACGTAAATTATCAAACTGTCTCAAGCTGAATATTTTCATACATATTTCAATTTCAAATTACTATTTCTATGCAAAATAAATAAAATGTGTCTGTTAATCGAACTCCGCCTGGAGGCCTTCTTGTGTTACTGCCAGTCCCAAGCCCAAATAAAGCAGAAGGGAGGGTTGAGCAAAGAGGGGTTAGGCGTAAACCCCATTCCGTAGCAATTCAACTCGTTAGAAAAAACGCTAACCAGAAAAAAAATAATTCGTTGGTCGGCCTACGTAACTAATCCTACTAATAGGAATTCAGAATGTATGCTTTCATCCAATTTAGAGAGTACTTGCCATCTATCTATCTGGAGGATTATACACTTACAATTCAAAAATCATCATTACAAATCAAATGAAACTATTCCAATTGTTCAATTTGATTCACATTATTTTTTTGAAAATAAATATTCACAATATGAAAGAAATTGTTTAAATGCTGCATACATTTAAAATAACGAAAAAAAAAATTCTGATTTCAACAGTAACAATGGCATATAATTAAATAATAACTTATCTGAATTGAACAACTAACTGAAGCTAGGATTGAAAAAAACACCCTCATAGGGAAGAAAATAAATAAAAATAATAACATTAATAATCACAACGATATTCATTATTATCATCAAAGCTTCTTACTTCACGTTGACATTTTCTTCGATCTTGTTTTAAAATTTCTTCTTGTTCTTCACATGCATCCGCTATAGCTTTATATCGTTTTGTTTGACCTTCTAAACGTACAATCTACATTATAAAAGAAAGGCAATAAATGTCAATAATCCATGAATGAAATCATGAAACTCTAATCAGGAGTATTATTACTGTCTATACTTGACAGGGTTGAACTCCGCTGGTTAGGTCTTCTTACGAAGCTAGTCAGTACTAGTGAGCATATTAACACTGTTGGCTACCTGACAATGGACGGC